AAGCACCTGAAGTAAGTGAAGCACCTGAAGTAAGCCAAGCACTTCAAGGAAGCCAATCACCTCAAGTAAACCAAGCACCTGAAGTAAGACACCATAAACCAAGAGGTATTAGTGCCATAAAACAAGAGGTATTAGTGCCATAAAACAAGAGGTATTAGTGCCACTTCATGTAGTCTTACACGAAGTAGTAACCCTCTCTCACTGTATCATAGTGTATCCACTGTATCCATTGTATCTTGGTGTATTCTTTTTATACTAGTGTATCCACTGTATCCTAGTGTAACCACTTTATCCTAGTGTATCCACTGTATCCTAGTGTATCCACTGTATCTTAGTGTATCCACTGTATCTTAGTGTATCCACTGTTTCCTAGTGTATCCACTGTATCTTAGTGTATCCACTGTATCCACTGTATCCGCTGTATCCAGTGTATCCGCTGTATCCTAGTGTATCCAGTGTATCTACTGTATCCAGTGTATCCTAGTGTATCCAGTGTATCCGCTGTATCCTAGTGTATCCRCTGTATCCAGTATATCCTAGTGTATCCTAGTGTATCCACTGTATCCAGTGTATCCTAGTGTATCCAGTKTATTTTAGTGTATCCAGTGTATCTTTGTGTATCCAKTGTATCTTAGTGTATCCGCTGTATCCAGTGTATCCTAGTGTATCCAGTTTATCCAGTGTATCTTAGTGTATCCTAGTGTATCCACTGTATTCTCTGCATCCTAGTGTATCCAATGTATCCTAGTGTATCCAGTGTATCCTAGTGCATCCAGTGTATCTACTGTATCCACTGTATCTAGTGTATCCAGTGTATCCTAGTGTATCCAGTGTATCCAGTGTATCTTAGTGTATTCTCTGTATGCTAATGTATCCAGTGTATCTTAGTGTATCCACTGTATCCAGTGTAACCCTTAATTCCATTGCATACTGTATTCTCATAGTGCATTCACATTCCAAGTGTAATATCAGTGTATCTACTTTATCCTTGTTCATCTACTAGTATTCTACTTCATGTAAGACTTCATGAACTGACACTCACTCACTATTAACTAAGGTTTACTGGGTTCCTTTGATAACATTGGATATCCTTAGTTATTAGAAATCCTAATTATATTATTCTCAATGTGCCATTTATAATTTTTACTATCCCTAGCTATAATTCATGTGATAGTTGCATGAATACCGAGAACCGATAGGCGTAATAAGCCTGGTATATATACCAATGGCTTCATTACCAATGTTTGAGGTATTTAAGTGTCATTTCATACTTGACAAGGTTTACACACACAAAAKTTGAGTATTGTGCTTAAACAAATGATTTTTCCAATTCTTTATATATAGAAGTGCTTAAATGAGATCTCTCATCAC